AAGACGCTAAAGAAACTCTAGAAGCAGAAGACGCTCTAGATGCAGAAGACTCTGGGGACACAGAAGACGCTCTAGATGCAGAAGACGCTGAGGACGCAGAAGACGATCTAGATGCTGAAGACACAGAAGACGCTAAAGAAACTCTAGAAGCAGAAGACGCACCAGATGCTCAAGACGCTGAGGACACAGAAGACNGCTAAAGAAACTCTAGAAGCAGAAGACGCACCAGATGCTCAAGACGCTGAGGACACAGAAGACGCTCTAGATGCAGAAGACACAGAAGATGCTAAAGAAACTCTAGAAGCAGAAGACGATCTAGATGCTGAGGACGCAGAGGACGCTCTAGACGCTGAACATGCTAGCACTGAGAGAAAATTAATCGTGGTCAAACTGTCGGGGAACCCGCGCTGAAACGCAGCATCCAGAGCCTCTCGGGAAAAGATCATCTCAAAGACGTCTGTGGGACGTAGAGTAACGGTCGCAGAAGCGTCAGATACTCTGTTAGCTGTGGATTGCTCTCAGCAGCTGCAGCTCCTTGGAGAATAAAGGGGATCTTTTCTATTCTAGCGTCCAGAAATGTCCTGCTGTTGGACCAGTGGTTGGTGATCATGTTCGCTCCGTCTTTTAGCCTGAAACGCTGCCGGCGACCAGAGGGTTCAACCTGAAGAAGCTTCAGAAATAGATTGATTTGTACGCCACGCATATCTCAGGTGACCTTTGTGGTTTCAATGAGGACTCATCTGTTCCCCTGATGGTACTGGCCCTGAGACACCTGAGGACAGTTTAAAGGTTAGGACTACAGGTAGACATCTGCCTTTATGATGGGCCGGCCGGGTGCTACTGGCAGGTTGGGGGAGGCCCTAGAGAAAGATGATCTCTGCCATGAAGCTGGAGCTCATGACTCCTAGAAGAATTTCTGAAATGATGACGATGTTTGAGTTTCAGCGGCTGGTCCTCCGGGGGCCCGGTCTATCTGGACTGGGTCAGCCTGAAAATAAGGAGGCCGGAAGAGTTTGGATATGGATTCAGGTCCGGCCTCCATCGCCCCTCACTCAGCAGACGCTGTGTCGCCTAGCAACCGTGACAGATGACTGACGAAGGAGCAAAGAATGGATGCTGAGCTTCTAGCTGAGGATGTTGAGGAGCTTCAGCAGCAGTACCGCCGCCTCAGATATCGCATTTATAGTCCCCCCCCCCCTCCAGATAAATTGGAATCTGAGCTTAAATATCAGCCAAACTCATTTACACAGTAACAGATTAAAACCTTTAGATAAACCAAACATTACCGCCACATATCTGATTCTATAACCATTAAAACAACTATTTTCATTCATTTCAGACGGAACTATTCACTGACTGGATTATATTAAACTGAACTTCCAATTTTCACCACTGTATGGCGCCAAGTAACCTTTCCTCTAAGAGACAGAGCAGCTGGCGTGCTTGGACTCTCAATGAATCCTGGTACAGCGGACCTGTCCTTAAACACGGTCAAAAAGAAGGACACATCTGTCGGCCGCATAAAGTGGAATCTTCCAATCCGAACAGACCTCGTCGCCGCGCTATGACATCATCGGCCAATGGATCTTTGGAGGACGAAGCCGCTGGATACAAACTCAGCCAATGATTATAATTTAGAATATCATTCATAATGCACTTAGCATACAAATCTATCCATCCATCCATCTTCCAACACGCTAATCCCTGCTGGGGTCGTAGGGGGGCTGGTGCCAGCTGTCATTGGCTGAGAGGCGGGGTCCACCCTGGACAGGTCACCAGTCTATGGCAGGCATACAAATCTAAAACTGCTACAAACAAGCCAAGAGGATAAAAAGAGGAAAATAACAGTAAATATTGGGAAAGTTCTTTGTGGTTGATCCCTCCCTCTGATGATCTGCTCCGTAAGTGAAATCAAGTCTGGACGTGTTTTAATCCTGAAGATCAGGCCCTGCCAGCCTAACCCTGCAGGGCGCACTGAGACCTGGCTGCAGCACAGCAACGTCTCCACACTGCCCCCTCACTAAAGCCTTCAGGAAAAGCTGTCTGAAATTTAAAAAACTAAATTAGAGTTAAACTTCTGCGGTTCTGTGAAGCTGTAATGGTTCCGATTATTGATCCCATCGTTTGCGAAAGAATGTCATCAGTGTCCATAGGAGCTGGGGTTCTGGTTGGGTTCTGCTTCTCTGGCAGAACAATCCTTCACAGTGATCACAGACACAAACAGAGCAAACATCGTCTTTGGACCCTCTCCGTCTCCATGGTGACCCAGGGGTCCTCTAGAGCTTGCGTTCTCCACAGATGATGCTCTGGTATATCTGTTCTGTTAGGGGAATGTAGCTGTTCTGCTGGTAGTCCAACACATAGAGGGGATCAGAGATGGTTGATGGGTTGAAGCCACTCTGGACCAACTGGAACTTCTGCTGTTTGAAGGTGCTGGTCATCTCCATCACCTCCTGTGGGACAAAGCGGAGGACGTTCAGTCACAGCAAACCCAAAGCCTACCTCCAAACTCCAGTCCTCAGGGGGGCGCTGTCCTGCACCTTCTATGGTTTATATGGGAGAATCAATGGTCTTCATAATGGTAATATACAAAGGAAACATCTTTATTTGTTATTAAAACAGAATAGTGAATAAAAAACTGATTACAGCTTATTGATGCTACCATTCTATAGTTAGAACCAGAACACTGAGGAATGGGCTACTATGCTGCTGCATTACGTCATAATGCTGAATATGTTCAGGATCTCTCGCCATCTTTGAAACAGCAAAGAGATTGCTGCCTGTACTTTAGAATATCCTCTGCACATTGATGAAGGCACACAGAAAACAGTTTAATAGACAAAACAATGGTAAAAACAAAGACTGATTTGCTTTGTTGCTTAGAGTGAACGGCCCGATCCGGCCGGGGAGAAGGACGGACGTTTTCTCCTTGGCTCTGCCTTTCTGCTACCTCATTCAGACTGTTCTATTCACCAATGTTCACATGAGGGAGGAGATCAGGCAGAGAGCAGAACCCAGTTGGGACTGAATGTTCATGAATTGTTCTGCCAACAAAAAAATGAAAGTTACGTTTGAATCACGGTTCTATGAATGCCGGATGACCACCAGAGGGCGGTGCTGAAAGCACTGGCTGTTTGGGCAGAACCTCGTGGAGGTGGTCGGATGCCCATGATGCAGCAGCACATGTTGCTGGAAGCGAGACCCCACTGAAAGCCGCCCAGGAAGAGGAGATGCTCCTGGTGGAACGTGATCTCCCAGTGACTGGCAGGGAGAAGCGAGGGAGCCCCACAATCCAACCAGCAGTCAAAGGTCACCCAGGCTCAGGCTGAGCTAACGCTAACCCCATTAAAACTGGGGAGCAGGGCGTGATCGCTACCATCACCACGTACAAAAACCAATAAACCAAAGAAGCCAACAACGTTAGCCGTACCCAAACTTCTGCAAGGGAAGTTGGTCAGACTGGGAGTGGGGCGAAATCGCTGCCGTCACCAATTCTCAACCAAAACAGCACCAAGCTGAAGGTAACACGGTACCCAGAAGCTGGGAGAGGGGGCGACTTTCCGAACTCTTCTACCCGATCGACCCGTTGCAGCCTGGGAGGGCGGAGAACAGGACCTCCAGTCAGCGAGAGACAAACAACGGGAAGCTAGCGAACCGCTGAGAAGAACCAAGGATGACACCAGGCTACGTAGCTCCTGATTGGTCCTCCAGCTTCACAGCTGGGATAATTACTGGAGCTGCGCATCCCTGAAGGGAACATTCAACACCAGCATTGGGCGGTCAGCAGGGATGGAACAGAACCATCTTTGACCTTTGATGATCTGCCATATTTTAACTTTCTATCACACCTTCAGAGCCATGAACATCATCTAAACGCAGTGACCTGATTGGACAGAGGGTCTGATGAGGTCACAGAGCAGAACCTTTATCCACGTTTTAACTCCTCTCTGCTGGCTGCCTTCCTCCTGCAGTTCCACCGTAGCAGCACTAGAGGGAGCAGTTCACCCATAGACCAGCCTGACTGGTCTCCACTGGGAGCCTGATGTGGTCCTACCATCTGAAGGACCTGCTGCCCCCTTCAGAGGCGTTCCACCATCATCTGATGATGATGAAACCGTTCAGCTGGAGGAGAACGTCTCATCCGCCGCTCATCTAAAACATGGCCTCCAACATAATAACATTTAGAATGATTCTGGCACCCAGCAGAGGAAGGCGTCGAGTGAAGGAAGCGTCAGGAAGAGGTCAGTCACCTGGATCCTCACGAAGAGCGGGCGAGCGTACGGCGGGAGGTCCCTGAGGGCGTGTTCCAACAGCTTGTGACCATCAAAGGTGAATTGTGGTCGCACGGTGAGGGCGGCCATCCCCGCTCTGCCCTCATGTCCTGTCAGAGAGAGTTAAGATGGAGTCAGCAGAAGCTCCAACAGGTTCTACAACTAGAAGACAGGATTTTCCTTCAGCGTCTATGAGAAACGCGTCAAAACGAAGCATGCGAGTCTAAGGAAGGAGCCGTTCTTCTTCACTGTGAATGAGCTGATGAAGACGAGATGAAGGCAGAAACGTTACCTGGAACCTCCACTCCAAACACATTGACCTCCTGGATGAAGTCCACCTGCCCCAGGATCTCCGTCACCTCCGTGGTCGCAACGTTCTCTCCTTTCCACCTGAAGAAGGGAAGGAACCAGAGAGATGAGGCATGAGGTCAGACCCATCATCATTCATACAACTATTCCAACCCTTCAGTGTCCACCATATTGGATCAGTCCATTTGCTGCACATGTTCAGAAAGGTCCAAACAGAC